GTGGAGTGGAGTGGAGTGGAGTGGAGTGGAGTGGAGTGGAGTGGAGTGGAGTGGAGTGGAGTGGAGTGGAGTGGAGTGGAGTGGAGTGGAGTGGAGTGGAGTGGAGTGGAGTGGAGTGGAGTGGAGTGGAGTGGAGTGGAGTGGAGTGGAGTGGAGTGGAGTGGAGTGGAGTGGAGTGGAGTGGAGTGGAGTGGAGTGGAGTGNACTGAAAGAAAACACTCCTTATATCTAGCCACAAAGCGTGAAGCCACTGGTAAAAACATTCCAGTTGAGAATCCCCCAGGTTATAAAGCCCCCAGGTTATAAAGCCCCTGGTAAAATCAATCTCTACAGTAATAATTGATATTCAAAAGGCTTCGAAACATGCATAACTCCCGTGAGTTCTAAATATATCAACAGTGTGAAAAATGCACAACTCCCTAAGTTTACAGAAATTATAATAATCCAATCTAAAATATGTTAACACATTTCAAAAGCTCAAATTCATATAGAATGTACTTACCTCAGTGACATTAAATCTCAGTCTGATAAAATAACGGCCAATTCAAAGTCTGACAAACTAAAAAGCACGACACCGAACGGATACTGAACCATGAACGTACATTTACTAGGACTTATGCAACTTTCTCACTGATGTATAATGAGTGGGACTTACGTGCATTTCATACTTCCGTTTCTAGTGCCATCTAAATACTTTCTACCTAGTTGTTTGATTTGGATATATAGATACGCTGCTTCGCTAACAGATAGAGCTAACAAATAATTTTCTGAAATATTGGACTCGTGCAATGTTCACATTAGGTCGACGATATGTCCACATTCATGTTAGTTTATAGTAGAATGATCAAGAAAATGTGCTGGTTGGAGATACGGCCATTATTGGTAATCCACTTATCCCACGAGTAAAATAGTTGATCGACTAATAAGCTGACGGTCCTGCAAGTATGACGCGGTGCTCCATCCTATCGTTAACAAATATTTTTCGTATCTTCTATTGATAGATTTTTCACAACATTTTATAGTATCCTTATGATGTACTGTTTGGAACCTTTGGTGATTTCTCTTCTAAATATATCGTATTCTAACCCTCCAGCTTTGCTCCTCATTACCAAAACGGACAACTACCATTTCTTGACGTTTTGAATTGAAGGGGTTATATTTTTTAGGAGTGATTAATTTTTGGGAAAGAAAGTTTTTGGCTTTCTACTACTCCATCTTGATACAAAAAAGAAGGATGAGCAAGTCTTCCAAAGAAAGGAAGGAAGTAACTCAGAATCAGATATCATTCACATGAGTTCTACTTTAAACGAATGGTAATAAATTGCACTCACATAGAACACTACCATCCTCACTGGTATACACCGATGTTTCGCCTAAGACACTTGCCCTAAGGCTCTTCAGTACCAAATTGGATAATATTATAGAAAATACACTATAATGTTATCCAATTTGGTACTGAAGAGCCTTAGGACAAGTGTCTTAAGGATAATGAGATGAAGGATAACTATGGCATTCGATTTATCAGCTTTCGTGAAAACAACTTGACCAAAGTAGAATTTAACAAACAAAGAGGAAATTTCAATAATGTCCAAGGAGCCGAAATATACACCAGCAATAATTAATAAAAATAGTTTGGAAACGTTGATAACAGATAGAGCTATTGCACTGAAACAGACAGATAATAGAGATATAGGGGCATACAAGATAAATGAAGTAATTCAGAACCATTCATTCTCTTTATCAAACAGTAGAGAAACCGGCATAATAAAAACTATACAACAAAAAATAAGAAATGATGATCTTGTTTTCACGAAAGCTGTTGAATCGAATGCCATCGTTATCCTTGAACGAGAAACATGTTCAGAAAATTGAGTCAGTCATTCGAGATGAAAACCTTACTGTCATCAAGAAAGACCCGACGAAAAATAGTCAAAATAAACTGAAAAATTTCCTCTTATATACTAAAATCATTTTCACTGAATCAGAGAAACGGAGAATCACCAACACGAACCCCTCTTTCCCTAAACTGTATGGCCTGATAAAAACACATAAAGAGGATAACCCCATAAGACCGGTGGTTTCGTATATAAATAGTCCGGTAAAAGAACTAGGAATATGTCTCAACGAGTTGTTCAAAAATATTACCAATTCAGTCCCACGTCACAGCATTAACAATTCACTGACTTTAGTAGAAAACATAAGGAACCAAACCACGTCACATAATCCAATTTCAGTTCCATTCGATGAAAAGAGTATGTTCTCCAACATACCGTACAACGAGTGCAAACCCCACATTTTTTAGACATTTTAGATCAAGCCAAAGTAGACCATACAGACCTTTGAAGTTTCAACAGCTTTCGATGTGTGCCTGAATCAGAGCTACCTACAGTTCAACAACAAATTCTATAAACAGGATTCAGGTTCACCACTCACCCCTTGGTCCCCTTTTATCAGACATATTCATAAACAACTTGGAAACCACTATAGTAAACTCCGACCTGGGTAAAAAACATATTCATTTTTGGTACAGATATGTAGACGATATTTTTGCCTGTTTCAGAAGTACTACACGACAGCTGAACCAGTTTATGATATTCATGAACAATCTCAATAGCAAGATTCTGTTCACACTCGAAACAGAGATATAGAAACAGATAAATTTCTCAGACCTGGCCATTACACGCAATAAGAAAAAAATTCGAATCCAATGTTTTCAGAAAACCTAGCTATACAGACATTACCATCCCAAGCGATTCTTTCCATCCAGACTGTCATAAATTAGCAGCCTACAATTCAATGTTGCACAGAGCATTCTCACTGCCTTTGTCTGCAGACAATCTAGCTAGGGAAATTTATGCAATTACATAGATAGGTCATAATAATGGTTTCAACGCAGATACTATCCAGAAGTTAGTCAGGAAACAAAGCCGGATATTCACTAACAGAATAATATATCTTCAGGTCAAACAACCAAAAATCAAGAAATGAGTAACGCTAACATATTTTGGAAAAAGAACCAAAATAATAGCAGGTTTCTTCAGAAAAAACAATGTGGAACTAGCAAGGAAATGAGGTTATCTCATTTCCTTTTCAATGTCAAAGATAAGATTCAATTCACTATCCGGTTTTTAAATTGGCACATGCGTATTGTGAATTGTAAATTCAGTTACTCAATCAAGTACCTGAATGGTATATATTAGCGAATGTAATGAATCATTCTTAGTTTATTGTATAAGTTTGAGGACTTAGTTACAAATAAAAGTGGTAAAAAGCCTGGGTCATGACTGGTGTTTGATGGTGGCATGAAAGTCCTCAGACATCCATACCGCCCTTCGCTGAATACCCCTACCTGGCTGGGGTGAGATGGATGAAGATATTATTCATCTGTTAACGGAGGACATAGGGGCCTCATTCGACAGAGTGTCGGGGCCTTCTATATCGGGAGGGGTCGTCTACAGCGTAATCTATAGCTTCCCTGACTAAAGGATTTTCGTGACTTTCAGCATAATCTAAAACTCGCCGATTCCTCGAATGAATGGACTGCTGAATGGAAGGCAGCTTCAAATCTCTGTGAATGGCTTCATTCCGCATAAACCACGGAGCATTCAAAATCATCCGTAGAATTTTATTTTGTGAGATCTCCAAGATGGAGATGTTAGTCGGAGCGCTTGTTCCCAAACGCCTGAAGCGTACATGATGACAGACTTGAACATCATGTTATAGATCGTGATTTTATTCTTTAGGCTTAACTTAGATTTTCTATTTATCAAAGGGTACAGGCTTGCCACCCGACCCTGGATCTTTGCCTTCACGCTCAACAGGTGTGGGATCCAGGTGAGCCTACGGTCTATAAGAAGATGATTATTAATGTTCTTGGTGAAGTACCTATCAACTGCCATCAGTTCCATTAAATTTTGTTGACTGAAATTTTTTGTTGACATAGGGATACTAATGAGTCTGGGGTGAGTCTGTCATGAGGGTGATTAGGATAGTTGTTGATTTATGTGTCTGTACTGGTTGGTTGGTGGAGAAATTCGAAATGTTTGTTAATAATTATTGTGATTGTCAGGACAAAAATTTCATCGATTCACTAGTTTCAAGTTCTATTCTGAATTTTATGTTCTTTGGAATAGAATTGATATATTGGAGGAATGCCTGTAATTGCTGATATTTTCCTGTGAAACAGGCAAAAGACACCAATGCATAGAATAGTTTACAGTTTGAGCTGACACATGATAGAAAAGGATCAAACAAAAAGGCTTTCTTGGAAAAGCATATTGACTTTCAGGACATACTATTCATACAAATGGAAATTGCAAAAACAATATACAGTAATTGTACATTAACTTCGATTGACGACTTGTTTATTTTGTGGAAATTCATGTTCACTGAGGATACACTACGAAAACACACTTTCGTCTATTTGTGGAAAATAGACAAAAGTGTGTTTTTGTAGTGTATCCTCAGCAATTATACATCAGATTGTTCAAATCAATATTCGCAATCGATAGACTGATACCAGTTATGGACTTCAACGCTACTGTCTCTACTCAAATTGATTTTCAATGATACTATGCATCAGAATAGTTCAGAACATTTCGAAAAGAGTAGAAATGCGTTTTATTATGAAGTCTATGAATCAATTTCAACTGGTCTAGTAGTAGATGCAACTGATCTAGTTCCTGAGAATGAACATCATAACACGAGGGCATTACAGGCTCGAAGTATGAATCGAAGTATAGTAACATAGAAGTGGGACTTTTTTGTAAAATGCAATTTCATAGTCTGATTTCAAATGTTTGATTGACTATTCTATTTTCTTGTCTGAGGAAGATGATAGGTCATTCAATCTCACCGATGTGATATGTTAAATAGTCTGATGGTGTGCTTGTTCTTTTTTCTTACGATGAGTTGTCAATCAATAAGATATTTTAAGGTCAGCTTGTTCATACACAAAATGGAATAGGCATTCCAATATCAAGTTGTCAACAGTTACTTACTGAATAACACAGCACAATTTTGTGCATGCTTGTCTTGATCAAAGTCTTTGGTTGTGAATTTCTCACCGAGGTGAGTAGTTAATGAGTCACCAGCATCCCCAGTGCAGTCTCTCAACACACTCAAATTATAACCCTCTGCTTCAGATCCTATTGCAAATGCTTTATAGTGAGCATGGGCTTTTACATTGTCTCTATCGACGATCTCGATAAGTAACTCAGTTCCTCCCATAGCTGTAATGAAAGAAAAAAATAAAGTAGGAGAAAATATATATGCAAGACCTGAACTCGATGAATGAAAACAGAAAGTGCACGATGTGATTGATTCTTTCATGCTAAGAATGAACCCGTCATATTCTGAGTGGATAGTTATCGCTGGGCATTCGTCACAGATTCTGAACAAACTATACAGGCTGATTCACGGTGGATGGCACATTAGACGTTTCTGGTGAACCAGAAAACGGATCACTTTGAAAATTTAATGGAGGGCATATTCGGACATTCTCTAGCCAACTAAAATATTTTCGACAATGCGGTGTTGCCGCTTCTATTAGAAAGCAGTAGCAACTTTGATTTTTCAAATG